TCCACCGTTCACCAGGCTCCAGAGAATCCCGGCGGTAGCCACCGGTGTGCGAGACCTTGGGAACGACTCCCAGCGGCGGCCCGCGGCGACCCAGCGCTCAGAAGTGTGGAAGCTCATGGGGCTGGTGCACCCTGAGCGCGGGAGGCTGTCAGGTAGGAACCTTGCGGGGACCAGTGGGCTGTCGCAGGCCTTGGCCTGACCTCGGCCTCGACAAGGGCGTTCAGATCTGCGGACACCTGTTGGAAGGCTATGGGTGCCTTTTCTTAACTGGCGGGTGCTCAACATCTGAGGTCCGTAGAGCCTGTTACTAGAATATTTAAATCGGCCCCCACCAGCTTGTTGGCAGCGTCAGCTCTGGGGCAGTCTCTAAATAAACTGTAGTTTACTCCTTTAAGAAAAAAGTTTTGCCAAAACCATGTCTACTTTGTATTATCCATTTATAATGTTTTTAAAAACGTCACTAGGGCTACACAGTATCAAGCAACCAGAAATATTTCACGCGATGAAGTTGAGCACTGTGAACTTCATGCTGGCTGTCACCACCCTAATGTGGTCAAGACCAGGCATTGGCCACAGTATAAAGATATTAGACAGTATCTCAACCGAATCAATGGATGACTTTTAAAAAGGAATCCGAATTGGCTGATTTTAAATGAAAATATTCTGTAACTCCCCATTTTTAGCTACAGGAGGAATGGTTGGGGCAGAGACCTACTGAGATCGAGAAAGTCCTGAGGGTTTTCTAAGTTTATATTCCTTCTGTGACTATGGATGGTGCTCTCCCTCTGTGGAATTGCCTTGGGAACTGACACATGGAGCCCTGCTCCTGCTAGGATTCCCTGATTAGTGGACAGGAAAATATTTGAATTAGAGATGAGGTGGAGACAGGCATGAGCGGTTTCCAGGAGGAAGGACCTTCTTGTTCAACTCTTGAAACAGGCAGGACCCCAAGTTGCTTGATGAGTCTCTTGCTGTACAAATTACTCTCTTTGGGAGAGACTGGGCTTGGAGACGGGTGTTTGTGGAACAAGGGCATATGGATCTGCCATCTACAAGAGTTAGGAGGTTGTGGTGCCCTTAGGTATAAGACACATTTTACTATAGTTGTTGTGGGTTTTAATGGGAAAAGTCCTTTTCTTCTTGGCTAGCTTGTAAGCCTTTTTACCCCTGTGTTTTATTTATTTTTTTAATGAATTGTTTTTTATGTGCATTGATGTTTTGCCTTCATGGTGTCTATATGAGGGTATTGGATCCCCTGGAATTGGAGTTACAGACAGTTGTGAGCTGCCACGTGAGTGCTAGGAATTGAACCTAGGTCCTCTCAAAGAGCAGCCAGTCCTCTTAACCACTGAGCCATCTCTTCAACCCCCTCCCCTGTGTTTTACTGAGAGCGATTTAATGTAGTCCAGGCTGACCTCAAACTCACTATGTAGCTGAGGATGACCTTGGACTCCTGATCTTCTTGTCCATTTCCCAGGTGCTGGGATTACAAGTGTGAGCCACCAAAAACAGGATTAAAATATATTCTTGGGGATTGTGGGGGACACAGAGCGAAAGTGTGCATGGAGGAGTCTGGAGACCCTGGGCACCTGGGTGTGCCCAGACTATGAGGGGCTGAAGCAAGAACTCAGGCTTCTGAAACTTCAGATTTCAAAGTTCTGGGGAGTCAAGCTTTGCTAGTGCCACCTAGCCCTTCCATAGTGTCCCTGTCTGTCATCTCTGGGACCTGTGACCTGTCCCCACTTGTCCTGCCTGCCAACATGCTGTGAAATCTGCCTTAAATAAGTCAGAGCAGACAGTTTGCCTTACTAACACATCAAACATATGATTTGAGAATAATCTTACTGTAGTTGGCATTATAGTAGGCTTGTTTTTGAGTCAGGGTCTTGCTCGGTAGTCCAACCAACCAGGCCTCTAACTTGATCTCTTGCCTCAACTTTGCAAGTGCTAGGAATCTTTTTTTTTTTTTTTTTTTTTTTTGGTTTTTCGAGACAGGGCTTCTCTGGGGCTTTGGAGGCTGTCCTGGAACTAGCTCTTGTAGACCAAGCTGGTCTCGAACTCACAGAGATCCGCCTGCCTCTGCCTCTCGAGTGCTGGGACTAAAGGCATGCACCACCAATGCCTGGCTAAGTACTAGGAATCTTAAGGCTACTAAGTAGATAGTAAACATATTCTGGCTTCAGGACATCTGAAGAACTCTTTGATATAGCCTATGTTTTCTTCAGAAGCTATTATAGGTAAAGACAGTCTGGTTGTTGGTGCTGGTGGAAGTAAAAGGAAGTCGTGGTCACCGTTAATTTGTAATAGATCATGCTAAGCAAGAGTTGGCACATCTCTGAAATGCTGGGGTAATAGAGCTTGTTATGTAGGTTTGTGTCTTTCTGTCTATCTGGTTTTTGAGACAGATACCACTTTGTAGCCCAAACTGACCATGAATACACAGCAGATAGTCATGAGTTATCATGCCTGTCATTATTTTGTTAAAGAGCCCCCATGGCAGATATTAAAAGAAGAGAAGAAATCCCAATGTTAGGCTCTCTCGCTTTCCCCCTGGTTTTTTTTTTTTAGACGGTTCATTGTGTAGCCCTGGCTGTCTTGGAACTCTGTAGACTGGCTTTGAACTCAGAGATCTGCCTGCCTCTGCCTTCCAAGAGCTGGAATTGAAGGTGTGTGACACCACTACCTGACTTCTGGTGTTAGTTTTCTAATTGTAGACAAAATTAACATCCCAAAACTGTGGGTTGTGTTTCAATAATAAGTCTTCCTTCCCTACTCTTCAGCAGTTTGTTCCCAGAAGATTTTGATGTTAAGTATCCAAAACTTAGAAAACAGGGCCTCCTGTTTGAAATGTCTGCAGATGCTTCCCCAGAACAGAAGTCACATGATTGCTCTTCCTCCAGGTAGCCCAGTCCTTCAGGATTTCGGCTATTTTGGTATCACTAAGTCTGCAGCTCTACCCAGAGCCATTTTGCACTGATAAGTCTTCCTCTTATCACTTTTGCCACAAGGAACCTCAGAAGGTTCTGAGCCCAGAATCATCAGGATGTGCACAGAGCAGACAGGAGGTACTTGTTCAGGCTTCCTGTGTGCTTAGCAGATAGGAGGCCAGGGCTCAGATGTCCCAGTGAGCAGTGGGCCCCATGATGAGAAGATGCTTAGAGTGTCAGATCTCCTGGCTCATAGCGGGTTCCTAGATAGACTATATAGTTAGACTGTTGGATGGTACATTCTACTGTCTTCCCTTCATGTTTCAGACAGTGCAGGTATGCAGGATTTGGGTCTGCTATTCTCCTGAATTACTGGTAAGGGCTGGGTTTCTCTGTGAAACAGCCTTGTCCTGGCTCTTCCAGAACTCACTCTGTAGACCAGACTGGCCTTGAACTCACAGAGATCTGTCTGCTTCTGCCTCCTGAGTGCTTGGACTAAAGGCATGTGCCAGCTTGATAATGATTGTTCTTAAAAGCTGATGCCTGCCTGGAACTATGGCTGAGTTTGTGGCTGACTTTTGTAGATATGCCTGTGGAGTGACCATAGTGAAATACAGCAAGAAAAGGATGGAGGTTGCCTACAATTACTGCTACCTGATACTCAGATAGAGCAGTGGTCCAGCAGGGCAGGGCTAAGGGACAAGAGGAACAGCCTGTGATGTGGAGGCTACTCCAGGGATCTCAGTATCTCCTGAACCCCTATTTCTTACTCAGCTTCATTCTAGGTTTCCAGTCCACATATCTTCACTTCCTTCCCTCAGCTTAGGGCCAATTCACTTCAGCTTTCATCTCCCATCTGCCCTCTACCCTGTTCCTGTCATATCTATATTGTCCCTGAAAATGTCCCCCTGACCTCACAGATCCTCAGCATGTCTGCAAACAGCTGTAACTCTGCCTTTTTGCCATTTTCCTTCCAGTCTCTGAGACAAGACAATTGAGTTACCTTTGGGCTAAGACACAGCACAGGTCATTTCTGAAATGACATCAGGATTGATAAAGGATATAGCTGCTATTCTTGTTTACTGGTTACTGGGCACTGAGCCAGATGCTTTCTGTGTGTCTAATCTGCTCAAGGCAGCTCCATGAGAAGGTGTCATATATTTTGCTATTTGTAGTAGGAGAATTTGAGGAACAGAGGATTTGAGCTACTTGTGTTAGGTCAGGCATGTTGGTGGCAGAACCAGGGTTTTGGTGCTATTAGTCTCCGCTTTAGAACCAGCTTTTCTGACCCTCTTCAACCTCTCACCTCCCACCCTGACATTGCAGACCTGAGACCATCTACATTTACAGTTCTGACTCCTCTGAACACCAGTAGAATGAGGATAATGGCCATGTGTTTGAGATTGTCAGTCAGTAGAAGCCACTGGGGCCCATCAGGCCAGATGGGAGCAGTAGAAGCCACACCGTGATGTGGAGGGCAGGTGAATTCCAAATTAGAGTGAGGTCCCAGATTTGGAGTAGAACCTGATATGCCACAGCCCCGTATGGCAGAACCTTGATCCCAAGAGACGAAAATCTTATTTTGTTTACATACAGATTATGTCTTAGGGTTTTATTGCTGTGAAGAAATGCCATGACCATGGCAACTCTTGTAAAGGAAAACATTCAATTGGAGCTGACTTAACAGTTCAAAGGTTCAGTCCATTATTATCATGGCAGGAAGCATGGTGGTATACATGCAGACATGGTGCTAGAAAGGTAGCTGAAAGTTCTGCAGACAGCAGGAAGAAAATGTGAGCCGCTGGCCTGGCTTGAGCATCTGAGACCTCAAAGATTATTGTCCCCAGAGACACATTTCCTTCAACGAAGCCACACCTATTCTAACAAGGTCACACCTAATAGTACTACTCCCTTTGAGCCTATGAGGACCATTTTCTTTCAAACCACCACAGATTGTAATATGAAGAGGTACACAATAGTAAAATAAACCTGGGGTTGAGATATAACAGCTCAGTTGGCAGAGTGCTTGGCCTAGCACACGCAAAGCCCTGGGTTTGATACCAGTACTAGCATGTCAGCACACCTCTAATCTCAACATTCTAGAGCAGGAGGTAGAAGTAGAAGAATTATCCTTGGCTGCATATGCATAGTTAGTTTGAGATTATCCTGGTCTACATGAGGCCCTGTGTCAAAAATAAATAAGTCATTTGGGACTGGAGAGAAGA